TTAGCCTTAATATTTAGTACTAGCCAACATTACACAAGTTATAAATTACTGAGCTTTTTTTCTTTTTCTTGTACGTAAACAGCATGTAGATATTTTGCCTTCTTTGCAATAGCTATTAATGTTTCTTGTTGTAATTAGATAACTGGATGCAGTGGTTGCTTGCCACGGTGTATGAACTGAAAATATTATTCAAGATCTTTCTGTGCAGTTTTATCAAGCTTTCTTGCAGGAACAGCCTGATGAGAATTCTCCCTGTCAAAAGTGTGTAGCTCACTCAGTTTAATGTATTGCACTGTTACGTTGCTGTGTGTTAGTGGTTCTGTGTGCTATGCCAGGCCGCTTTCCAGGATTGAGGTAACATCTTCAGCTTCATTTTCTTATGATTTTGGATAAAAATAAATTTTAAAATATCTCAGTCTGCTCTGGAAAAGAGTGCTTATTTTTGCTCAGGTAATTGTAAAGACGTAATTCCTCACATAGTTAGCAGCATGTGCAATAAGGTTGCTTTGGGTACAAACCAAACATAGATGTGTTGGTCTGGAACAGTGTTGTTTGTTCAAGCCTCTACTCCAGCAAGTGACTGGCTACAAATATGCTAGATTGCAAAAAATGCTGCTTTTCATTAAATATACATGTGCAACGTGAGTGCCTCAAAGATTTTTCAGTTAAAGTTGTCAGAGAAACAACCTACGCACTTTTCTTCAAAAGCGCACGTTCAGTTTTTCTGAAGTCAATGGAAATCATCTGCTCTGAAGGACAAACTTCTGTCCCATCTATGTAAACATTGGGGTTTCTGTTCTGTTTCTGAACAGAAATTAATTAGAACTAACTCAGTGATGTCAACAGCAGCACTTAGCACTTAAACTTGTAGCCACTGGCTACAATAGATAAACATGTTTTGCCCTATCAAGTTAAAAATACACCGAAATGCCATCTTTGGGTTTGAATTAGGATTGGATTCAATAAAAGGGGAAAAAAAAAAGTTGTGCTGCTTTGTTGCTTTGAGAAGATATAGCAGGAGGTGCCTGCATTCATTTCCACTAATTATTTAAATAATTAAACCACAAAGTGAATGTGCATTGCTGTACTTTGGGACAGTGGCTTTCACTTTTTTTTTTTTTTTTCTTTTAGAATCTGACTTGTTTTGTGGAAGCAGTTTCATTACTTCTTCTATGTAAAATCTCCATGTGGGAAGGAGACAATCTTTTAATCATTAGAGAGGACAGTAGATCAACTGTAATGAGTGATACTGCATAGTCATAAAAATGGGAATTTAATTCCCAGTTAGCTGCCCCTTTTTAGGTGAATGAAGACATTTTCAACAATGTTGGCAGATATGAGTTACTAACCTGGCCAGTCCCACCAGGTCAGAGCTTCTCAGTGGGCTGAAATCACCGCAGCCAGTTATTTTTTCTGCATTGACAGTTCTGACAGGGCTGCATCAGGTTTTCTCCAGTGGTTAAACCAGCAAAGCATCAGTGGCATTCAGCACTCTTGTGTCTTTTTCTGTCTTTTTAATAAACATCTTTCCTAAAATCATGAATTAAGCTTTCTGATTAATACGTAAATAGCATTAATAATATTACCGAAGAGAAAATAGAGACTTTGTATATTTGCTGTGGTTGTTTTGAACTTAAAATGTTAAAACCTGCTATTTTTCTACAGCACCAAATCAAATGAAAGCCAAGGAAGGGAGAAACCTATACAGTTCTTCTCGTTACGATGACTATGACAGATACAGGCGATCTAGAAGCCGGAGTTACGAAAGAAGACGGTCTAGAAGTCGTTCTTTTGATTACAACTATAGAAGATCGTATAGTCCTAGAAAGTAAGTGTAGTGTGTTTGGCTTTAACTGCACAGCAGTCTGTTGGAAAAGAAACACCACTGATGATTTAATTCTTAACATTTTGCATATTCTTCTAAACTTACTTTGTAGTCATTTGTGGGAATTGTGTTGCTTGCATGCTTCATCAAAACAAATATTGATTGAAATGATTCTCTGCTTCATTGGCGAATAACTAAAAGCAAATGCACATCTCTAGTTTATTAATTATCTGTATAAATGCATAGGTATTTGTCACTGTTTACTTTTTCTGATATACCTTTTTAGCAGTAGACCTACTGGAAGACCTCGACGTAGCAGAAGCCATTCGGACAACGATAGGTAAAATACTTTTTACACCATTTAAATCTAAACTAGTTCACTGTATTCCTTTAACTGTAGGCTTAAAAGTTTCTCCTGGTAAACAATTTTTAATGTACTAGATGTCTAAGAATAGTGTTTTTACATTCAAATCTCCTCTCTCCCCTTTATTCTGATAGGTTCAAACACCGCAATCGATCTTTTTCAAGATCTAAGTCCAATTCAAGATCACGATCCAAGTCACAGCCCAAGAAAGAAATGAAGGCTAAATCACGGTCTAGGTCTGCATCTCACACCAAATCTAGAGGCACCTCTAAAACAGATTCTAAAACACACTATAAGTCCAGCTCAAGATATGAAAAGGAATCGAGAAAAAAAGAACCAGCTAGATCCAAATCACAGTCAAGATCACATTCTAGATCTAGGTCAAAATCCAGATCGAGGTCATGGACTAGTCCCAAGTCCAGTGGCCACTAACAGTGTATCCATGTTGTTTTTAGGCATGTAACATTCATTTACACACAGTTCAGTTTACTTAAATTATCAGGAATATGATGTTGCAACAGTACTTTAAAAAAAAAAAAAATCAGTTTTCCCTGTAGCCAACAATGGTTATAACTAAAACGGTGTCGAGAAGCCACTGAGAGAGAGAGAGAGAGAGAGAATGTCCACTTGGTTAAATGTCATGGGCAGCTACTGATTTGATTGTGGTGTCTCTATGTATATTTTTGTAAAGACTTGCATTTTTAATGCTTCAATATTGGTGATGACTTGATCGTAACTTGCAACATTGTCCTTTTGAAAATGTCATACCCGCAGAGAAACCGGTACTAGCTCGTGCCGAACGGTTAAACCAGCTGTTTAACTTGTTCTTTAATACTAAACTTCGTGATAAGATGGAAAACTGGAGAGCTGTAGCGCAACACTGACCGCCGGGCCGCGCGCACCGGCAGTTACGTTTCGGTGGGTGGAAGGCAGGTTTTTGTGCTCTCCGTGCGCGCCGCCCGCGCGTCGGCAAAGGGAGCTCTGCAGAGAGCTGAGATTTCTCTTGAACGCTGCCGTCTGCAGAGGTGGTGCTGATGCGTAGCCTACCCGGGAGAGAGTTAGCCCTGAAGCTTGTTCAGGGACCGGGCACCGTCCTGACGTGTCAGGATGGGGCCTCGTGGCTTTTTACCTGGCTGCTAATACTAAACGTTTGTGTGAGGGGCAAAAAGCCTTGAAATGGAAAATTAAGTTCAGATTTCAGCAAATGACAGAGCAACTGCGTATTAGGTTGTGTGTACATTTTATGCAGTTTTTGTATCTATCCTAAATTTTAGTGAGCAGTTAACCATAAAATTGCTTAGTTTTCCTGCTGTTAGATACAAGTAGATCGTTTCGAGTTGTGTGTGTACAGTATATAAGAACTAAACTCTTATGCCAATGACTCCTGTGGTTAGTTGGTGTATTCATAGGTATAAAACTGTAGCCATCTCTCTTCTTGAGTAACAAAGGCTTGCTTTTCACATCAACAAGTATTTAGTCGAGCAAGTCTGAATCACTTTTTCCTCAGAATGAATAGTGGTTTGGTACAAGATTTCATTTTACTTGAGAACAAATGTTTCAAGTTGGATATGAACAAGAGCTGCATCTCTAGCTATTTAGTTTATCACTAATACAATATATTTAGTAAATTGAATGTGAAAAAATAACAAAACCAGTGTGTAATCTTAAAAGTATTTCTCTAGAAGGCAAGATACTTCGTTATCAAAATGGCTTTTGGCATTGTTTTTTTTTCCTATTTCCCTTCAAAAGCCAGCATCACACACTTAGTGTTCCTTGCTGTCTGTGTAGTAGCATACAAGACATTTGTTTAAAAACTTCCTTTTTAGAGAAACGTTTTGGTTTTAATGTTTTCCGCAGGGCCTTTGAAGAACTGCAGATGGCTTTTGAGTACTGGCAGTGGAACGTGCTTAGGGAGTTGATTCTAGAACCTTTGTATATTTGATAGTATTTCTAACTTTTTCTTTACTGTTTGCAGTTAATGTTCATGTTCTGCTATGCAATCATTTATATGCACGTTCCTTTAATTTTGTAGACTTTCCTGGATGTATAGTTTAAAAACAACAAAAAGTCTATTTAAAACTGTAGCAGTAGCGTGCAGCTCTAGCAGAGGAAAGTTGTGGGATTAAACTTTGTATTTCCTTTCTTATAGAGGCTTCTAAAAAGGTATTTTTATATGTTCTTTTTAACAAATATTGTGTACTACCTTTAAAACATCAATGTTTTGATCAAAATAACTAAAGACCCAGCTTATTTTCTGCTTGCTGTAAATTTAGCAAACATGCTGTAATAAAAAAATGAAGGAAATACTGATCCACTGGAATTATTGTAGCTTTAGAATTTGACTCCAGAGCATTGCTAGGAGCAGAGCTACGCATCCCTTGTGGAGTAAAATCTTTACTATGGTTTTTCAGTAAAGTCAGGAATTTGTTTATTGTTTGACATCTGAGTAAATATCACTTCCTATTTCTAAGAGGGGTACTAGACAAAATAAGACTGACAAGCAAACGTTTTAATACACAGAAATTTCTCTTTCATTAACGTTTGTTATTGCTGGATGGACTTCCCTATGGTTATAACTTAGATATTGCTGGCTAGGTTACAAACTGCAGTTAAAGGTTCATACAGAAGCTGATTCCTAGGTGATAGCTCCTGGTTTTACGTTTGCCTTATCCAAAGCTGCATCACCAGTGGGTCTCCAGCAGGTTGTGAACGTTTTTTGGTGCTCAAGAGCTTGAGCTGCCTCCTGGCACTAGTGGTACCTAGAACTTGTTCTCTTTATGCCACTGAATGAGAGTAATTCTGAAGAGCACTTAAATATTTTGATAAATCCAGTCTTATACTTTCTAAGCTGAACTATGTTTGTCTGGTAGTTGATTTCCCTAAAAAATGGTTTGTAACAGCAAAAAAAACCCTCCTGTTTTTCAGCCTCTTTAAATTACAGAGGTTCAAAGGCTCTTGGGATGGTGCGGGTGCAGAGCTGGTGTGTTTGGGGAGCAGCCTGCCAAGGGTTGCTGTGATTAACGATCACATTTTAGCCCAGCCAGAATTGGAGCTGGTTGGTGGGGAGGAGGGAAGAGGGCAGCGTGTCCAGGCTGAGGTTCCAACTTCTGCCTGCAGCCTAATAGCAACATACCTCAACTATTTTGTCACAGTGTCCTTATATTGTGTGCCTCAATTTATGTATAGCACAGTTTAAACTTTTTGTTTTGAAAATCCAGTTCATTGCAAGTATAATGTAGTATCTGACAGTTCTGATGGTTCTTTCTTTCTCTCCCAGAGGTAGGACTAAACTTTGACTTGACTTGTGTATATGAACAAGCCAGAAAAGCCGAACACAAACCCACGATGTTTCAAGAGTGCATGAATAAAGATGTTGTCCTAGTTCTTGCTCCCATGGAAAAAAATGTGAAGAAGCTGTTCTGTGGGCCTTTCAGTTGGGGACGAGTTAGCAGGATGTGGCCAAAAGGGCAGGGAATGTTTATGCATTCACGCAAGTCCAGCCACAGCCCATCTAGATAACATCTCCCTCCCTTGATGCAGGTGTCTATTCCTGCTCTAAAAAAGCAGTAGCCTGTCTTGTGCAAGCTACCCGCAGGTTATGCACAGCTGGAATGCAAGAACATACGCAGGCTACAAAAGATCATGTATAGGCATCTTTCTTTTGGAGTCTCAAGACTGGTGGGAATTACGTTTTTTTTTTTCTCTGTGGTAAACTAGATTTTGTCATTCCTGCAAATTCTGTAGAATTGAAGTAGCGTGTATAAACTCTGCTGAAACTAATGGCTGTGCTCCAAAGTATCTGCAGCATAATGACTGATCTCAGCAGTTACAGAAGGCTCTATTGGAACTTCCTTTTTCACCAAAAGTTCATGCACCCAACTGACAATTTTAATTAAAAATCTTAAAATTTAGTCTTTCAGTAGCTGGGTGTTTAAATTAGGGACTATGATAGACTGGTCTCTGAAAGCTAAATGTTATCCTTTCTATGTCTTTTAAAGATGTTTAAGTGTATACTATAATGGCTTTATTCAAAGTGAAAGTTTTCAATTTAAATGTTATTTTGACCTCTGCTCCTAGAAGAGCTTTTTCTTTTTCTCTAAATGTTTAGTCTGGGGTAACAACTTGAAAACTGTTCAGAGAAGGGTAATTGGATAAAAAATACATTTGCAGCACTGCTACATGATTTTTGGCAGGGATGTTGCAGATAACATTTTGAAGTACAAAAGAATAGATTGACACCTCTTTAGGACATAATCGCCCATTAGTAATTGCTGGTTTTCTCCATTTATCTTGTAACTTGCTTAAGAAGTCTGTAGTCCATTGCTATAATACTTGTCTAAAGATGCTCTTACTGATGAGACTATTATAGGAAGGGAAGACTATGTACCCTGTAGTGTGTTTGATCAAAAGATGCTAATGTTTTATTCATACACATCCTTTCTTCTTGAGTTTTGTGTTCCATCTGTGCAAATAACCCTGTGAATTGGGAATAAAATGTACAAGTTTTGACTATACCTTGAAATCACCTTCTGACTTAATTAATGCAGCTGGTCACCAAACACTGAACTACCCCAGGGAGCTTCCTCTTAGCGCAGAGCCCTTGAGCCAGGAGCACGAGCACAACTGGGCTCTGCGAACTGCACTGGGCTCTCCTCGAGGGGGTTGTTCAGCTTTCCTGGGCAGAGCCCGGCTCTCCCTTTAACTCCTTTTTGGGGGTAATGAGTCATTTTAGTCTTGTGCTGCACAAATCACTTGGCAAGACAGAAGCGAGAGGGGGGCTGGGGAAGGGAGCTGCTGTGGTGGGTTCTGGGCTCCACAGCACCCGCCTGCTCTCAGCAGGCTGCTCTCCTGGCGCTTACAACGGTCCTCAGGCGCGCAGGGTGACAGGACAGTGACATCGATGGGCCATTAAGTACCTACATCAGCCTTCCGAAGCGTCCCTGTTTTGCCAAGGTTGGGCTAGCAGGGTGCTCCTACTGCCCGTTACACCACCTAAGAAACCACAGAGGCTCACATCAAGGGGGAGTTTTGTCTCTGCCTCCATTGCTTTTAAAAGAGGGCTAAAGGGGGAGGTGGAAGAACCTTCAGCATAGACGCCTGAGTTAAATACTCCTTGTGAAGGCTCTTCTCCAACTTACCTCCTTGGGGCAATATACTGTCAACTAAGCACTTTGAAAGGGGTCAAAATCTTTTTACTGCTATGAACTACTAAAAGCCCCATCTTTGAGAAGTCATTTAGACAAAGGTTGGTGCTGTTTACATTTCTTTCACAAAGGCAGTGCTTAAACTGTACCTGCTCGTGTTTTACATGCCCAAGGTGTGCTGGAGTGGACAGTGTGGGGATGCCAGTCCTAGAGAATGATACACAGGCTTCGCGAGGCAGGTTTCTGCTCCTACCCCTGCAGTATTGTTCCACTGCCCAACACTTCAACCGAGTCCAAATATCCTGCATACAGAACCTAGTTACAATGCTCTATTTGTAACCACAAGCAACATTTTACACTACCCTCTTAAAATAAGTAACAGTAGTTTAGGGGGAGAAAATCTGATTTAATTTGTTTCCAATTTTTACATATAAAGTTTATAATTCACATTCCAAAATTGAGTTTACGCAATTATAGTTGGGATACAGCTCTTAACATTGGTGAAGATCCATGTCAAAGACAATTTTGAAGACTGCCAATTCAATCTCATTTGAAACAAAATATTTGTAAACATTCAACCAGCTGCCAACAAGTTCTGAATGTATAGGAAGAACACATTTTAAAACCTTTTACAATTATAAAAATCACACTGAAATTTACTGTTTTGTTATCTACTATTTTAAAAACAATCTCATATTCTGTGGATAACAGGCCCTTGTTTCTACCACAATCAAGTGAATTGTGGCAGCATTCAAACCTACCCTTTGGCTGTTAGGAACTTATTTTTCATTTTGTTACTGCAGTTGCTGGTGATTGGTGAAGCCTGGACAGAAGAGCGCTGAAGCAGGGACAAGTTTCAGAAATGAAAACATTATCAAAGCAGCTCAGTTCTGATCGGCTTCCTAATCACAGCCCTTTGCATTTCTTAGGAGACATCCCATCATTTAACATGCATCTCTCCTATATATTCAGAACATGAGCACCTTACAGTGGAGCTTTTTTTTTTTAAGGTTTTTTTTTAATTACAAAATTCTAAATATGCCTCTTTTGCACTGAGTTTAAGAAAGGAGCCTATGAAGAAAAACGTGCATGTTCACTGTTAAGTGCAAGGGCACAGCCACAAGTGTGCTTTTACGATTTTTTTTTTCTTTAAACAAAATACTTCTTTTTTAAATCAGGCCATGTACTCAGCATGGTCATCTTACATTCAGCAGTTTTGTACTAAAAATACTTTTGTGCAGGAAAGCCCAGCATAAATTTACATATGCTACAAAGTTTTACAGTTATTTACATGGCTCTTTCTTCACTATCTATGAAAACATTTTATATCTGCCACAAGCTACAAGTAATTTAAAACAATATTACAGGGTAACCAATTTAAGACTAGCCTAAGTAACTCTATTCCATTTTTTTCCTCCACAATTACAAAATTGATATAAAAATGCATTTTAAAACTCATCAGTGCAATTAAAATACAAAGATTTAAGTTTTTGGCAGTCATCTGGCAATGTAAAATATGTCATTAGTTGGCACAGTTTGACTGAAATTCCAATTAATTTTCTAGAGTTGAAGAAAGACCAAAATTAATTTGCCTGATGTGTTCTTCTATCTGTGCAAGAATAAGCAAGGAATCAATTTAGCTGCAGGCTTGAATGCTTGTCCAGTGTAAAGAGTGCCAAATAAAAGCTCACAGGTATAAAAGAGAGGAGAAAAAATAAAAAAGAAAAAAAAAATTCTACAAGTGCCACCTAGGCAAGTCTCCTCTGCTAGGAAAGTCTGCTCTGCAGAGCCTTTACACAAGTAGCAAACTTAAGTTTGAAAGACAAAATAACTGCCTAAAGCTCTCAGTGTATTTTTCCCCAGTTAATGCTGCAGTTAAGTGGAAGTTGGTTTTCTAATACCATTCCTAATAGCATACTAGGAAATAGTCACAATTTCAATTTTGAAATAGTCCAAATCTGTCACAGTAAATGGAAGAACTGAACTTTCTCATAATTGAAATTCACTACAGACAAAATGTTTTTTTTCTTCACAGTGAAATGCACACAGCACAGTGAGGTGAAGCACTGGAGGGGTATGTAAACTATCCCCGTTCCCCTTCCAGCTGCCCAACTATGTGCAGCAGACTAGCTCCATATACCTGTACATCTGGAGTTATGAATGCCTATTCTCAAATTTGAAACCCTGTAAATTTAAGTAACTAAAAATATGAAAAGTTACATCTCAGGCCTGGACTTTAAGTAATGTTTTAAGCTGAAATGTCATTATTTCTTTATCAGAAGGTTTAAAAGAAACGGGTACCCAGTGGCTTGGTGGCTTAGGAAGAACACTTGGTGAGGGTGGCTCACTAAATTTTGCACCAGCATAGTTCTGATTGGTTTGAGGTGTGAAAAACAAGTTGGAATTTGATAAATTAGGACTCCAATTTTGATTATTGGGGAAATGAACATTGTTCTTTCCCCCTTTCTGCATGGCCTGCCATGCAGCAGGTGATGAGTTGCATCCATGTCCTCTTTCTTTCTTCATATAGGTCATCTTCATCTGAGAGTTCTGATCTTTATTCTTCTGCCTGTTTTTAAGTTGTTGATGGTTCTTGGTGGTATTTCTAGCTTGTGGAACTGGAATGTTGAACCTTTCTCCACCACCCATCTTCAACTTAAGTGTCACCTATAAAACAGAATGACAGAGTGAAGCTTGGATTTTGTGACTTTTTCAAACTTTTTTTTAATAAAGATTCCAGGGAGTTGAAATCAATCCATCTCAAAATTAGACAAATGGAAAATAGCGAAAATGTTTGGTTTTTTTCCCCCTCCATGAGCAGAAGAGTCTTCAGTAATACAGACTGAAGAACTTAGCTGACAGTCATGAGAACTGAATTATAGTGAACTTTGAAATGTCTTTTCTGTTCAGTGTTAACACAGAGGACAACTCAAATGAGCTAAGAGCTGTACTGGCACCCGTCCCAGCAGCATTCCAAGACACAGGCAGCCAGTATCAAAGCAACACTAACCCCACATTTGGAGTAGAGGTGAAGAAACAGGGAGGCCAAGTTAAAAACACTCACTGGTACAAGAATCCAGAAGTGAATTTTAGGTGAAAACAGCCAAGCACTCGACAGTGAGGGCACATCCCCTAGGTAAGGGAGGATATGGACTGTCCCATGGCTCAGCAATGGCTCATCAGGACACTCTAGGCCAATCTGTCCTTCTGCGACAGTTGCAGCCTTGTCTGCCTTTAGGAAAAGCTGGCTCTGGAAATAGCTGCTACCACCACTTCCTTTCTCCTCAATAATAATAAAAAAAATACTAAGAGCATGTTAAAGACATTGCTCAAATGCAATGCCAGATTTAAGTTGTTAATATCTAATCCCGAAAGCATTTATATTTATGCTCAGCCTATGATACGCCTAGAGATCTGGGCAAGGTCTTCAACTGATAAAGCCACTCCCAGCCTCACGTAAGTGCTCAGCTGAATGGCAGAGACAGGGCTTCCTGGGTAAGCCCAACAACAACAAACAATATTCCTAACATGGAGCTGTATAGCTGATCACAGCAAGGAAGGACCAAAATCCACTTCCCAAACAGCTTTTCCCAGAGGGAAAAGGGAGTGGGGGGGCACATGCACTAGTAGCACATACAGCCAGACTCAGGCACACCTCAGGAAGAGAGCTGCCCTCAAAGTATGAGAGGAACTGAAAACAACCTCAAACGAAAAGCAGCCATTTATAACTGGACTTCTAAACTACAGAGCCAGATATTAAAACCCCCTGGTTGGTCCTTTCATGTCAGTTCTCCCACCGTACATTTATCCCCATTTACCTTTCGCTTGTCTTTTCGGATTCCACACTCTCCAAATCCTGTCCTCTTTCTTGCTTCCAAGCCTGGAAAAGTAGGTGCTGTCTTTTGCTGGATTCCTTCCTTTGGCTAGGAATAGAAGTTTTCATGGGCTGATCTGCTGCGTTCAGCCAGGTAGCCGAGCCCAACATCGGATTCTCGGCACAGAGGTTCCAAGAGAGAAGTCTCAACTGGATAAATTAAGAGAAGTCTGAATTCAAATAATGGAACACACAATTGTTTCTCTTTTTATTATTTTTTTTAAATGAAAAGAGTCACATGATCTCTAAGCCCAAGTCAGATGTGTTTCTCTATTAAGAAAGGCAACATACTTAAACCATATTTTTAATATAATACAAGCGTTTTATCTACATGAGCTTCACCATTATGTTTAATATTTTCATAAATGTATTTTCATCTTGGTATACATCTTATACTAAGAAATATTTAACAAATATTTTGTTTAAGCAGAAACGAGCACAACCTTAGCCTCTCTTTCAAAGGGAAGTAAAAACGACGACCAAAAACGAACAATAAAAGAGCAGACACACAGTGGGGTGAAGTACAAGGAACCTGGTGTCTCAGTGTATGTTCTCTGAGCAGAAACCCTCCTCTGAAGCCGACCCTCGGGAACTCACCACCCAACTCAGTGGGACCAGCACCGCACACTGCCAAACTTAGCTGGCCCTAAGCGCCCGAACACTTCCCATCACACCCTCGAAGCCTCTTCCAAACACTCCCATTTCAAAACGAAGCAATTCCTGACCAGCTTTTAAAGGAGTTTCCTGTTTAACCCTCGTTTATGTTCTCCCGAGGTCTTTTTCGAGGCGCTCCAGCCTATTAACCTCCCCAGCATACTGCGTCACGCTGTGCCACCCGCACCTATGAAGTGTCCCCCTCTCCCGAAAGCTCCAAGCTTTCTCCTCTCTCTTCTCACCCCCCTCGACCCGCTGGGCCGGACAATCCGCGGCGCCGCTTCCCCAACAATGGAGGAGCTCGGCGAGCACAACATGGCGGCGGCGCCCTGCCCTTCCCACAGCGCTCTTCCCTTACCGACTTCTGTCCGTCTCGCCGGCTCCCAAGCACAGACACACACGGGCTTTTAGGAGCCGAGCCCGCTGCTCCTCCACCGTCACTCGTCGGCCCCCCACCCCCCCCACAAAGCGCACTCCAAGTCTTCCCGCTCCAGCCAATAGGAGCGCGCTGCGCGCCTCCCGCGGCCAATGAGGAGCAAGCCCCGCCTGTTGCTGGGGCGCCCAGGCAGGCAACGTGGGCGGGCGGAGCCGCGGTTTGAATCGCCTCAGCGAAGGGCAGCTCGGGAGGGGCGGCGCGGCCGCCGCCTTCGGCTTTTGTTCCCCTGTTTTATCCCCTTTACAAAGTTAAGGGCTTAAAATAACGCGTGCGAGGTGTATGACCCGTTTCGAGTCACTGCCGGTAGCTTCGGTTCGCGGAAAACGTCCACGTAAGGTTTGGCAAGCCCATAATCTCCCCCATGCACTGCCACCTTCGTTCTTCCCTTTTACAAGATATTTAAAGATTTCAGAGGGGTTTTAATGCCAAAACAAAGCGAAGTTTGAAGGGAAAGTATTCATGATTTAAAATGCTGCTGTGCTGTGGAATGGATTCCAAAAAAAGCGAAAAAGAATCTGTCAGAATCTTAACCTTCACAGCTTCGTTCCTTCCACCTCAGGGCATCATTTATACAGAAACAAAGTTTGGGACCTTTACTGTGTATCTAACAAAATTACATTACTATGAGAGACCCCAGCACTCCTGGAGCAAGCCTCTCCATACAGTCACCTGCAGGCATCGGAAGCACTCAAAATACAACAAAATAATATCAATTTCTCATCGATTTCCGGGGGAGGGGAGGGGAAACAGTACACAAAAGTAAGAGACTGGGGTTTCCGGAGTGTGAATTGGGAGGAAACTCCTTTGTGCTCTGCTTCCCTCAGCAGAGAAATGGAAAACACACAACTTCCTCTTTTATCTGTAAGATACTTCAAAATGAAGCTGGTTTCTTACTGCTAAGCGCCTGGTGGGACAGAGGGCACTGACTTATCTCAGTCCTTGGGCAGAAATGGAACAAGGATACGCTCCCCAGGGAGCCATCTGGTCTAAGTAGTATTTCAAAATGCAATGCATTATTAAAGAAAAGCTATATTCTATTTTAATATACACGAGGTGTTGACACAACCAAGCTGAGGCCTTTGTTCATGCTCTTTATTGCATGTTTGCACAAACCAAATGGAGATTAAATTTGTTTTCCTCCCTTTGCTGTGTGTTTCTTGGTATTTAATGTTATGTCTGAGATTCTTTGAGTAACTTTCCTTTAAGCAGAAGGCCTCAGTAGCAGTATCTGCTGTAACCAAGCACATAAGCCTTGAGAGTTCACTAATGATCTCAAACAACTCTCCAATAACACATATCAGCTGGTTTTCGCTTTTGTGTTTTTATCTACTAAAATATCTCCTCATCTCATAATGTGTGTTTAAATCAGGGCACATCACTGAAGCTTGCAAATAACATTTTACTGGCTGCAAATGTGCACTTGTGCAGGGAACAGAACAGTCAGGTAGTTTTCATCTCAGCTCAAGGATGACACAAGGTCTGGCTGTTTTTCCGCATTATCTCTTAGACACTTCAGAAAACATCTTGTCCCTTTCGGGATTGGTTTTGGGGTCAGGCTGACACAATTGGCCAGAGGCACAAAGGAGCGGGAAGCCTCAGTGTTAAACCAATTTCACTGAAACACACTGGGAAGCCAGCTGAATGCTACAAGAGTTGTGTAATGCACTCAGTTTAAGCAGGAACTCAAGGGGTTCTTCTAAATCAAATCAAAGGACAGGCAGTGTAGAATATCTAAAACAGTGCCTAACTTAAATAAAAGTTGCCATCATTTCACACTGCAGTATCTGAAGACTTGGCTAACTTTCCTCTCCTGCAGTAGAGCAAGACAGGATAAAGTTTCCAGGGCTGCTGTAACCCAAACAGGTACAGAAACACCTTGTGTGTCTGCACATCCCAGACCACATCTGCCAAATCCAGGTCCCAGGTAACTCTGATTTCTTATTACGGAGATCTAGGATCTCTTCTAAAGAAGATACTCCATTCCCTCAAATACTGATTTTAAATCCACACTCCGTTTTTATGGCCTCAGCACCAGACTTCCTGCTCCAGAGGCCATGGCAGGAAAGTCCCCTGGATTACTCATGGGCTGCTGGCTGCATCGTGAGCCGTGGTGACACACGAGCCACATCCAGGATCATTTGTGCAGTCCCTCGCCAGCCACGGGGCCGCGGCGCTGTCCCCACCTGCGCCACAGGACACAGAACTGCGGGCCTGGCTTCCTATCACGGCGTGACTCCCCGCTGCAGACAGACTCCTTGACCTCGTCTCCACCCACCTTCACTACGTGCTCTTAAAACTTACTTTGCAAATGCTTTTTATTGCGCAAGCGTCTGCTCTGTCATCGTTACTCTGCTTCCTCCAGCTAAGCAGAGGCTGACTGCAAGAACAACCAAGATTAGCGAGGCAGATGCTTAGGCCGGGTCTACCTTCCTCAAATCCTCCTCTCCCAGCCCTCCAACACGCTGCTGTGGCCACAGCAACTGCAATCCAACACGGCCTTCCCCTTCAGTAACTCCGTTCCCTCTCAAAGCAGGTCTAACCAGCAGCTCCCCCCAGGGAAGCCAGCTCTGCCTGTGCTGACACTGCGAGAGCCGGAATGAGCCCAGTTGTTCTAGAGAAGACAAAGTCCCCAGGGCCTCAGCAGCCCCACACTGAAGGGCCTCCAGCTCTGATCGACAGATCTACCCACGCACACATTCGTGCCAGGACAGAAGCTCAAGGGAAAAGCCCCGACAGCGGCTGCAGGAAGCAGCCCGGACAGGTGAATCAACACGGAACTACTGCCCCAGTTTTATTGCACAGGTGACAAACTTCCAGTGACCCTTGGCTTTAACAGGGCAGAAAGAATAAACACACTCGGCATTACTAAGATTCCCACGACTTGCTTCAAATTAGTAACATGATACCACCTGAGCCAAATATTAACTGGGGTAACAATAATCTAACAAAGTTTTCCCTGTGTGGGAAACGTGTTGATTTTGTACGTTCTTAAAAATCAACAAGAGTGTTAAGTATACAGTAACAGAGTAGACTTTATTCCATTTGGCAAAGGAGTTCAGGCTCTCAGGTTAAATGAGGTACTCAGTAAAGCTGAGGAAATGCACAGAAGGTGGTACACAAGATCCACCTAGGCATTTGAATCTCCTCAGAATAAACACAGAGAAGCTGCACATCAAACACTCCAGCAATTCGAGGAAAAATTATATTAACTAATTGCTTAAATAAAGGTCCTTACAAGTTTGTTTTTAATGAACGCAGAGGCAGGATACCTAAAGATAATTCATATCCCTGGCTTGGATAGTGCATTATCTCCAGAGTAAGAGATTCCTCCTCCAGACTGCTAAAACCAGACACATGCTCAGCAGTTATCTCTGAGGACTTATCTCCTTTGCTGAGGTGTGACTGCACCATGTATATCTGTATATATACATACACATGTGTATGCACATAGCTCAGCAACAGTGAGGCAAATATGGAAATACAAAGCTCATTTAAGGCCAGTTATAGAAGCCGTGAGCCTGAGGGCTCAGGAGAAATCACAGAGCCCACGATGGAGCAGTTGCACTGTAACTGGAATCTGAACTTGGTAAATAAAAGCACATCCAGGCATGACTCCTGCGTCACCCCCACGGGCTCACCTGCCTCAACAGCTCCCCATTCCGATCCCCAGCAGCTCTGAGTCACCAAGGCCCATAAGAGCCTTCAGCCCATTTAAGTCAACATGCTCAATTCACACCTTATCAGCAGAGAAAACATTCCCACCCTCAAGGCTCCTCAGTACACGGGAGCAAGCAGAAGGGGGTTCTCCAGCCAGCCCCCTTGTCCAGGACGTTACAATCTAAGGAGGCAAAGAAGCTGCTCCTGCATACAGCCTAGCTGGGAACAAAAAGCCCTTAGATTATAAAAGTCAAGCTAGGAGATTTTTCTTTTACCCTGGCAGGACATAAGAGAATCCAGAAAGCTAATTAAAACCTGGAATGTGCTTCCAGATACGCTGCAGTAACGCTTCTTCCTTTATAGCCCTTGTTTTTTGTCAGAACAGCAGCTTTCTTTGCAGATAAAGAAAACCTGGCTTTGTAATTCCCGCTGGATGCAGAGATATAAGGGAGCAGGGAATGACTCCGGGCTGACTGCTGCTTTGCTAACTCAGGACTGTGCCCTGCGGATAGTCCATTCTCACTGTGAGCCATGTGGTTCTCATTAATTGTCACTGTTGAAGATGTGAGGTCCCAAAGGGGCTGAAAGTTGTCCTATTGTATAGGAAAAAAATGTTTGTTGGCTTATACTGCTGGGAGCAATTTGTAGCTCTTCAAGCAATTGCCTGGTGATCAAATAAGTCTTAGTACAGCTTTTCAGCAAAGGCTAAAGGGGAATTCCTTCCGGCAGAAAAAGAAAAAAACAGCCCATTTCACACTACTGTATTGCACTAGCTTTCCTTTATCCCACAATACTTTATACACCATTGATGTGATCCTGCAAACAATTACTTGTGGAAGTCGTGTCCCTTACATAGGTAATGCTTCCGAATTAGCTAAACCAACCCAGATGGGGAAGCACCAGCTGAGCCCCAGGGTCACACCGCGCTGTGGCTCTTACTCCCAGGTAAGGGCGCTCTGCAAACCCGTCTGGGATGCGGAATATCCACGCAGTGCCTCCCTAGGCATCACTTCCACTCTGAAATGCAGCTGCCCCTCGTGCACCCGCACTCCCGTTTGCAGGGCAGCAGATATTCAACATGCAGGAAATAATATTGTGGTGAGGATGCTCTGAACCTGAGAAGCACGGGTACTCCACAGCAGGCACAATTAATAGCAGGATAACTGAGCAAGGGCTGAACTGGAAAAGTCCTGCCACGTAGGGACACTGGTCCAGGGGTGGCCACCTCCAGCCTGGGAAGCTTGTGGGCTCTCCTGCTGCACCTGGAAGGACCTTGTTAACATATTGGGCCTGCTCCTTATTGCAGTTTCCACACCACAACGTGACCCCAGGAGGCACGGAGCAGCACCCC